TTGCCCAGAGAGGTGATAGATGCCCTTCAAGAAGTACTTGAAGGAACAGTGTTGCCATGCTTCTCTCAACTTTTGGTCTTTAATGCTGCTATAATTTGGTCATTGGCATAGTTATGGCATTAAAGAGTACGAAATGCATTTTTAAGCTTGACATTCAACTGAACATATAACTTTCTTCATAGTACAGTAGGACTAAAATCGCTGTTTAGTCCAGTTGCAGAAACACAGTCAGTACAGGTCAGAGCTGCAATAATTGGGGAAAACAGCTCAACTGTGCATAGACAGTGTTCCTATAACTTAAAACAAAATGACATGAAAATTTCAGGGCCACATCTTTTTTGCAGAAGACTGCATTTTTGTTAGCGATAGTTTTATTTAATATGTCAGATGTGCCTGGGCAAATACCCACCACCAAATACCACTTACACAAACAGACTCAATATGATGAACATCATAACATATTTGTGTTGTTTTGTTTTTATTCAGACTTCCAGACACCCTTGCTAGATTGGATCTAAAGGGAAATGACATAGAGGATGTTGGAGAACAAGAGCTGAAGGACTTGAAACAGCTTCAGGTTCTAAATTTACGGAACAACAAGATATCTGCCTTGGATCGCAAAGTCTTAGAGTATTTACCTCGTCTCCGTCATCTGTATTTAGATGGAAACCCCTGGAACTGCACCTGTGACCTTCTCAGAACCAGAAGAGCGCTGGTGGCCAAAGGAACGGATGTCAGGGGAGGACAGTGTGCAGCGCCGGCAGAAAGCCGAGGAGAAAGTTGGATGTCTTCCAAAAAGATTCTGCAGCAGTGTGGAGATAATCTGTCTTCCATGGAAAGGGGCAAGGAGGACAGAAAGAAAATGAAACCCAATGAGGCCTCCAGCGTTGGAGTAAACACAGATGATGATTACTATGATTATGAATTAGATTAACCCCATGGTTAATCTACGGTGAACCTTAAAGTTGTCCAGAGCTGCGTATACCACCAGCGTCTCTACTGACAACCAGCCTGCTGGTCTGCCATTAACTTTTCCTCTTTAATTTGTACTGTAAGACTTAATAGCTGGTAACAGAAGGGCTATAGAAAGGATGCCACTGTAAACTGAAAATCATAAAAAAAATGTTTTTTCTATGCCATTAGTACTATGTAGTTTGAGGGAAGTAAGAATACAATACTAACTCCTAGAAAAGCAGTCTGTAACTCTGTATGGACCTTTTTATAGTAGACCGTTCTTATAGTTGCATTAAAAAACCCATAAATAAAATCCTGCAATACCACAAGATACAACTACTAGGCGTGTGGCATTCAACACATTCAAACTCAACAGGTCTGCAGTTCGAGATGGAGAGTTACACTGACGCGGGCAATTTCTCAGGTTGTTCAGAGATTCTTGCTTTTGCAAAGCGAATTTCAGTTCCTGAAATATTTGCCTCTTTTGTTTATTTTAGACTATTTTAAATGACATTAGACTGAATTAGCCGAGCTCCAGGCAAAACACGGAAGGCTCATCTTCATCACAGCAAATGCAACAAACAGAAGGATCCGTGTCCTGGTTAATGAGATTTAATACTAGTTCCAAAGTTAGTTAATAGTGAGGAATGAAAACACTGGGGTCAATTTGACCCGATTCTATTGTTGTACACAGAAGAAGGGAGATTCTCAGGAAATAGAGCTCTACCTCTGGCAAATACTAGGATCAGGTCAAGTGAGATGAAGTTTTTGGAAGAGTTTATTTTGGTAGCTGAATAGCTAATTGACCGCAATATAGCTCGAGGTGCTGTGTGTATACTTTTGGGTTAGGTGTACTTCCCATGGGAGTACGTGCTGCAAGTGCCCCCCTTCACTGGCAGGAACCTTCCAGACTTTCGCCCGCAAAAAAAGGCCTTGATGGTATATGCATCAACTCTGATGTATGTACAAATTTTATCGAGCAGTTCCCAAAGTGCTTGAAAACTAAACAAAATGGGATTACCGAGCCCACTAAACCCAGTGACTTACAAACAGTAATCTAAGGGGCTTCCTGGCAGTTCATAAATCTCAGCTGATAACTGGGGAGTAATAACACCAGCAAATTACTTTTCAAAGCAAACAGTTTCTATTATTCTTTATCTTCTGTTGGCATTCAGTAACTGAGTAATCACTCACATCCACGGAGGCGGTTTTGTCAGGCATTGGAGTGCAGCTATGTGCTCATGGCGCCCATGCAAATGCAATTGACACTTGGGTTTCTCAGGCACCCGACACATTAAGCTACACAACTGGAACAGAAAGATGCGAGTTCGTTTTTCTTTACATTTTAACTTTTTACCGTATCGTCAGCCACCCAAACTTTTGGTAGCTAAAGATTCAGACGTATATGGAACAGCACAAGCCTTCCCAGCAGTTTGACCGTGTTACTTTTGTTGGCTAACGTTGGTCTGTATTAGAAGCCTGGGAAGTAGTTATTTTCTGAGCAAGAAAAATATTTTCATGCTACAGTATTTTTCATTCGGTTTTATATTAGCGGATTCTTTTAACGAAGTACTTTAAGTATTTCCCCGCGTCGTTTCAGCCCACCCATCTGTCTGACGGCACAGGGCTAGCTTGTTCGCTCTTGCTCTTTTGCCTGCAGTGGGCTCTCCACCTTCAGGCCCGTGGGCCGTCACAAGCCAAAGCAGCGAAACCCCAGGAACCGCAGGTTTTGTGGGAGACCCGGAAACGGGGCGCACCCCCCCGAGGCCCCTTTCTGGGCCACCGCAGGGGCTCGCTGGGCGGGTGTCCGGGGGCCGCGCTACCCCCATTTCCCGTGCCCGCGCTGTACTCGCAGCGTGCGCTGGGGGTGCAGCATACCATTTAATAAGGACTCCCGTGAGGCC